TAAAGAAGCTCAAGCTCAGAGAGGTCAAGAGGCTTGCCCAAGGTCACACAGCTATGAGTGGCATGAGTGGGATCATTTCACAGCCTCCTCTCTTACCTCCCTGCTAAATCCTCACTTCCTCCCCAGCTTGCCTGAGAGCCCTTCACCAGTCCTGGGAACAGGATAAGGCAGCCTGCAGATAAATTGGACATTTCTATTCCAAGCATCTGGAAAGAGGCTAGGCCGACACAGTGCTAGCAATAAAAAGCACGTGACCTAGAAAGGTGAAATAGTAGACACTATTAAAATACTTAACAGAAAAGCAAATTCCGGCCTTGTTGTGTGTTATCAGCAGCTGACAGGATTAGCCTGCTGCTTCCACCTCATGGTGGGTCTGGGCTCAGACCAGTACACAGCTGGCCTGTGGAGCCAACAGAGAATGAACCGGAAGCCTGGGGCCCCCACCAACAAAGCTCCCATTCAGCAGCTCCTCAGGTGGCCAGCTCCAAGACAGAAAGACCATAACCAAAGGCAGTGATCCCGGCTCCTCTACACACACACACACACACACACACACACACACACACTCACTCACTCACATACAAACATATTCTCTCACACAGACACACACACATTCTCTGTCATATACATTCTCACACACACATTCTGTCTCACACACACATACATTCTCTATCACACACACACTCTCACCCATGTTCTCTCTCTCTCACACAAACACATTCTTTATCATACACATTCTGTCTCATACACATACACACACACACACCACACTGTCTCACACACACACATATTCTGACATACACATTCTCACACACGCATTCTGTTTCACAAACACACACATTCTCACACATGCATTCTGTCTCTCTCGCACACACACACATTCTGTCTTCCTCACACACGCATATCATTCCCTTCTGTGAAAAAGAGGTTTTAATTTTTGGGTAGGGGTAGAGCTATTCGATTTAGCAAAACAAAAAACAAGGCACCACATATATAAACAGCACATAATTGTTTTGTGTATGTATGTCCCCACGCAATATTTGGGGCATACCTACATAAAACTATTATTTGTTGTTCTTTTGAAATCCAACTTTGGTGAGTGTTGTGTATTTTAACTGGTAACCCCGTATGGTTGGGGTGGGGTAGAGTAGAGGTATCCAGTAGAACAAATAATCTTAAAAAGAAAACACAAGGAAAAGTTGTGAGGATTAGGGGAGGAAAGTGAGCAGGTGCCCTTTGCTGAGCATCCCTTTCATACCTGAAGCTTTCATGCATGTTGTTCGAATTTTCCAGCAATTCTATGCTTCAGTTATATTTATCCCCATTTATAGATTAAAAAACAAAACAGAGGGTCAAATAATCAAGTAACTTACAAAGCACTGGCGGGTAATTCAGGAAAAGTGGGACTATAATGCAGAGCTTCAGGTACAACCCAAATGCAATTTCTTCTGCATCAAGCTACTTTGCCTGCTGATACACATTTATAAGGTTATACACTACATAAAGAGGACTCGACAGATTTCTTTGCTTTTCCAATACCTTCATGAGGAAGCAAATTCAAAATGGTATCCTGGACTAACATGCATGTGTAAAAATACAGTTACCTCTTTACAGGAACCATTCTGCTTATAGAGAAAGCACTAGATCCTTCTCTCCTTTCAGTCATGTGCCCCACCCAACTAAACACATCACCTATGAGGACCACCTGTCCAGTGGTCTAGCTCCTCGACAAAGAAGCAGTCAAAAGCTCAAGACCATTTCCCCCGAAATGACCATGGCTCCCCAGTTTTCAAATGAGAAAGGTCATGGGACATTTGACTCAACAGAATCCTGACAGGGACCCAAGAGAAAAGGTACCTCTATCACTATCCTAGCATCCCACAATCCATCATTTCCCAGAAAGCACAGTGGGTTTAGTGTACATTTGGGGTAGGAGGGGTTGGAACTTTGGTGGGAGAATTGTAAAAAACAGAAAAACAAAAAACGTTATAGACTTTTCCCTCCACCCTCCTCCAAGCTCCTAACGTTCTTTGCAGCACACAATAGAGGGAAAACAACCATAAAAATGACTTAATATGTGCCCTTTTGAAGTACAGTAACTGTCAGGCAAGAGACTATAAAAATAACACAGTTGAGGAGATCCAAATTTACTTCTGCTTAGTGAGTTTCCAGATCAAAATGCACTCAGTTAAACAGTCAAGTTTTGCTTTTGTACTGTTGTTCTCTTTCTAAATTTTCCTTTTCGTAGATGCTAGCAGATATTGCTTATGATAAAATGTTTGCCCACCTCACACTCTACCACTTAGGGAGTGAGACTAAGTAGTTGTGGGAACACCCACTGGTTCCTTGTTCCTCAAGGAGGGCGCAGGAAGTGGCACACGAGTGGGCAGATGCTGGCCTGGGGATGCCCCACCAGCGGTGGTGGCCAGGTTCAAAGCCATGGGGCTGGGGCTGCCTGCTCCTGCAAAGGGCCAGGCTCTGTCTGTCCTCGTCTTGCTGCTTACTCTGGATACCCTTCCCCTCCCCAGCTTCTTCTCCCACACCCTCCTACCCCTCAACCCCCACCGCTGCCCCACACAACCAAGCACAGGCTCCAAAGGTGCAGACAACCAACATTTACTCTTTTGGGCCACTGGTGTTTCCAGTTTTCCAGTGGAAGAAACACCCCACACTCCATTCCACCTCCGGCCCAGCCAGAACCAAACCATTCCCAGCCCCAGCACGAGGCTGCAAATATTCGGAGGCAATCACCCAGAGCCAGTAGGGGGGAGCAGGGCCGTCATTTGCAGACTTAATTATTAGAGGCTTTATAAACATTTCAGCTGCTGGGGGGTGGCTAAGTAAGGGGAAAGGGGGAGCACATAATGGAGGAGTTTTCTTTTCTGCTGATCGTGAGTGCACAAGCCCTACAACAGGCCAGGGTGGGGGTCTGCCGGCAGCGACAGAGGCCTCATTTTTCTCATTGCACATGATAATTAAAGACTACAAAGGTGAGAAAAATTCAATTTCATTTTGGATCTAAAATCTTTCAGAGATTTCTTCTGAGAAGTCCAGATAATTAAATTGATTTAAGTTTCACCATTAATGAAATCCTGGATCTACAAAAACATAAATTCTGGCCAATACTGTTTAAATGGGATCACGTTTCCATTTCTATTGCGCAAGAAGATTCCAAACCAGGGCTTAAAGGACTCACGGCTCTGACTGGATTTAATCAGGAGCCTGGTGCGAGTATCCTGGGGACCCTGGCCCTTAGGAAGCAGTGAGGAGCCCAGCAGCAGAACAGCAGCCTCAGGACAGAGGAAAGACCATGAGGAGATGGTGAGGGTTGGGAAAGTAGGATCACAGTGCTGAGCGGGGGGAGAGAGGTCTACAGCACACCAGCTCCCATCCTTAGCTGGAAGAACCCCAGCCCCAAGCATAGAGAATTAGCATGTAGGACTCTGGACTCTGAGTTCAGTGCTCCTTCCACTGCTTCTGGGTGTTAAATCAAGAACCCTCAAGAACCCCTGATATAAGGTCCACCTTGTACAAAGGGGAGGGAACAAGGCGCTAAGGCTGCTCTGAGTTGAAGTGGCAAGTGTTTACCTAAACCCTCCCCTCCAGTTCCCCGCAGACTGTGAGGCTCTGCTGTGTGACCGGGGGACAGCCTGGGAGAGGATGACGTCAGGGCGAACAGCCCACAAGGCCCGGGAGTTATCAGCCCATTCAGAGGCCTCGCAGGAATTTCCTGTTATGGGATCTGTGTCTTGCACATAGTCACAAGCAAGCAAGCTGTCACTCTTCCCCACTTGTTTAGGGGAAACACGGGCTCTGGGGTCACTAGCAGCCTGTGCCCTGCAGCTCTCCAAAGACGGCCTGGCTCCAAGAATGCCCACAGGGAGCCGGAGGGAGGGTCTGCTCAGACAACAAAGGGCGGGCCAGCCCAGGGGGATGGTGAAATTGCAGCTCTAGCAGCTCGGTTCTGGGTGAGCTCTGGCACTACCGGGAGGAGGATTAGTCAGCAATATGGAACTCTCCGGACCCAGAACCATGGTTCTAGTTTTAACAAACACTTCTAGGTGTCTTTTCCTTTCCTTCATTTCCACTGTAAGGCATACAGTACACACACGAGACAGGAGACTGAGGTACTCCAGCGGCACCCTGCGCTCCGGTCCTCCTCCCCACCAGGTCCCCACCCCTCCGTAGGGAACACCAGGCCAGCTTGGGGGATCATTGCTGCCTTGGTTTTCCTTATAATTTTTGCCACATGGCATGCACCCCTACGGATTACAGTTAACTTTGCGCAGCAGGGCGTGTGTCCACTGGCTCTCTGTGGTTCTGTGTGGTACTCAGCTGGATGAAAAGATTTTCTTTATCCATTCTGCCATCTATGGACAGTTAAGTCATGCCCAGTTTCTGCCCACAATGCTGCAGTGAACATCCTCCCTGAGCATGTCTCCTGGTTCTCAGGTGCCAGGGCTTCTCTACAACCCACACTTGACGATGAAGCGCACGGCATCGCGCTGGAGGCTTTCTTCACAGTGACGAGGTGACCCCAGCTGAGGCTCCAAAGCCGTAAGGCCTTCCCCTCCTCACGAGACACTGATACACGGGTTCTGCTCAGTCAGAGGAGAGGTCCCTGGTGACTCAGAGGCCAAGAAAATCTTGGTTGTCACCAGACGAGGCAATTAAAGCTATACAAAGCCTGAGGTTGTAAAATTCTGAGCTTAACCAGAACCAACAACCCAAGCAGCTCAGCTTTCTACGAGAAAAAGGCTCCAAACTCCCCAAAAAGAAGGAGGCAGCAGCTACAGATTTGGGGCAGTCCCACCTGCCACACTAGTCACCATATATGCAATAAGGACAAAGGTGTCTCTAGGAGATTTAGTGCAGATTAAGAGATTAAAGACTGTCTACAAATAAATCTCAGTCTGCCGTGGGAAGCAGGGCAGGGGAAGGAGATGAGGGGCCGGAGAGGATCCTGGACACCACTGCCCCCACAGCTGCCACAAACCTACCTGTACACCGGCTGCATCTCTCTTGCTATGCCGATGACGGCGCCTGGCAGGAAGTTGTCAAACTCCTCGAACAATTCCCGGATGTTGGTCTTGTACTTCAGGTCCAGATCCAGCTGAATTATCCGCAGGATCTCTGGGGGAAAGAGAAAGAAAACAATAAGACGCAGACACACATCCTGGGAGGCTCAGCCACGGGCAGAAAATGAGGGGGGGTCGCAGAAGCAGGTATCCGATCACTCTGGAGGTCCCGGAATGATGCAGAGCTGTCGCTGGAAACAGAGGCCCTTCGTGCCCCAGCGACCCACTCTGCATCAGAGTCTTCATGAACTGCCCGCCCCCCACCCCGCCTCTTGCACACATGCATTTTTTCTAGAACAAGGAGACCTTATGCTCTACCTCGGGCCCACTGTCCTGGTGTAACTTTCAATAGCATGCTGCTCCATTCTCAAAACGAACCAGCCTGGATGCTTGGATGATGGATACCCTACAGAAAGCTCAAAGCTTACAGGTGTTTCTCTGTGGGGCACAGTTGGTAAATGACCCATGAGAGAGAGGGCTGGAAACCCGCCCTGACTAGTACTTTCTCAAACCCAGACATGCGCCAAGTTCAGAGGCCGACAGCACCGCTGAAAGACCTTGGACACGGTTATATTTTTATTCCACTGTCTGAGAGACAAAGTGAGCTATAATTAGACAAACTGAGTCTTACAATTACCCGGCACATAAGTGCTATTTGCTTCCGTCGCCTCCAGATGACTCAGAGCGAGGAGGGTGGAGGGAGGCAACGGCTCTGGTCTCTTCTCCTCCTTCCCCTCCCCCATCCCACACCCCTCACCAAGCCTGACTCAGCTCCTGTGTGGCAGTGGCATCAGGGGACTGGACCCGGCTGCCCAGGACCCCTATCCTGCCCCCTACCAGGAGTGACACACAGGTGGCTGGAACCAACAAGGGAGGAACTTGGTGCATGTCATGGGCAGGGCTGCAGGGGCTCCAAGGAGGGGGTGCTTGGGGTCAAACAATGCAGGAGAGAAAGCTCTCCACACTGAGGAGGGGGCCTGAGGTGGGAATCAGGACACGCAAGAGCAAGTTCCAGCTTTGCTGCTGCTTACTTCTGGGACCCTGGGAAAATGACTTCCCAAAACCTTAGCTGTCCCATTTGTTCAAGTGGGGGTGATCCGACGGGCCCCCTGAGCCTGTGATGTCGGGAAGATGAGACAACAGATGGGAAACGTCTTGTATTCAGGCTGCAGAGCACAGCAGGAATCCAGCGTCTGGAGAGCAGGGAATTCACTGATGCCTGAAGCAGTCAAGGGAGACTTCATGGAGGAGGGAAGCGTGGGCTGGGCCTTGACACCTGAGCAGAGGTGGACAGCTGAGGCTCAGCAACGCCCACCAACACCCACCATCAGGCTCTCCCCAGGGCACGACAATGGTCTGAGGACAGGCTGTCCGGGGAGGCCATCTGAAGACAGGGACCCCATCTTTGGCATCTCGGTCTCCACTCAATCATACTGCAGACCTTGGTGGTCAGTAAACACTCAGGAATGTTTGTGGAATTCAATAGGCATTCTCTAAATTCGTTTATGAAGAAATCATAGCTTATGATTCCAGAAAAACTGATTCATTTGTTCTTGTTCTCTTTTCCTCTGGGGCACAGAAAAAGAACATTAATTGACATCCGACATGAGTGTTTTGAAAAAAATAAGCTACACTAGGTGAGAACCCGGCAGCCCAGGCCAGAGGAAAGTGAGGGGGGTACCAGAGCCAGACTTCTCTGGCCCTGCAGGAAAGGGGTGCAAGAAAATGGGTGGGTGATCAGGAAAGGTGATGACTCAGGGGTCCAGAGGTTGGGAAGCCACTGTGGTGACTTCACTCTCTCCCAGAAAGCTGCCCTCCACCAGGAGTGGAGAATAGGGACATGCCACAGGGCAGAGCCTCAGGGCATCTGCTGCTCTCAGAGGCAGTCTTGGGGAACAGAGAGAAGGAGCCTGATGGTGATCTTAGAGAAGAACACCATGTCCCTGGAGAGGATGTCTAGGAATGAGAGTCATAGTCACCAAGAAGTCAAGTTGGGGAGGCCTCATAGCACACACGCCCCCTCTAGCCACTTTCCTTTTCTTTCTGCCTGACTCCTGTGCCCCAAGCTCCCACATCCACAGTACGCACAGTAGAGTGGAGCACTAATGAGACAGGGACGGGAGGGCACCGTCATCATCCCAAGGAGAGAAAGGACGTCATCACAGGTTCTGTCAATGAAGGGAGACAATGGCGTTTAGCCAGATGATGGGGAGGCCTGGGGAACGTATGGTGGGACTTCTGAGGCACTGACAGGGCTATGGAGAAAGGGGTTCATGTCATCCTCATGACCCCAGGGGTACTTTCAATGCCACCAATGACAGCCACGTGGAGGCATCCTTTCCGTGAGTTGTTCTTAAGCACCCAGCATTGCACAGGCACGAGCTTATTTCTCCTAACCACCCAACAGGTTGAGTTATTCCTATGTTCTGATGAAGAAACAGGCTTCGAAAAGTTCAAAACGACAGCCCACAGTCCCGCAACAAATGAGTGCTAGGGCTGGGATCTGAACCTCAGTCAGCTTCACGGGAGAGCTCAGTGACCCTTTCCAGTGGAGCCCGACTCCCCTCTCACCAGAGAGAAGCTCCTGGGAGGCAGGCCCAGCACCCCTGCTACCCCCACAGGGGCACACAGAAGTGCCAAGGGTGTTGACAGACAAAAAGCAGAGCAACAAGCTGGCCAGATGTGAAATTTAAGTGAGGTCTTCTATAGGCAAGCATTTTCGCTAAAGCTAAAGAAAATCCCAGTGGCCGAGAGGCCAGTCAGCCAGCTGGTCGCCTTCCTTGAAAGCCTACTATGTGCTGTGTGTACTCCCTGGGCTTTCAAGGTCATGTACATCCAACCTATTCTCCGAGGAGCAGCCCCAATGCCTCCTTCCCTGCCCCACCTGGACAGGCCCTGGTCAAGGTTGTGGGCACTGACACCTGTGTCCTGACCTCACCACCTTGGTCAGACAGAGTGCTCCTTGAGGGCAGGAATGGGCTGGGAGGGCAGAGCCCTGGCCTTGTCTTAAAAGCCCATCCATAAATCTGAGCACCTTCCCTGCCCTCTAGGACCAGCTGGGAGTGAATCCAGAAAAGGTCATGTGTAGCCCTAAGACACTGGAATTCGATATGCTTTTATAGCTTTAGAACTCCTCGTTTGTCGAGTACCTTAGTTTGCTAAAAGGTGCTGATACTTCTATCAACAGGGACCTTCCCAGATGAGGTGAACTGGCTAGGAGCAAACTCACTGCTTCCCACTGATGTGAAAGGACTGGCCCGTTCCTACCTTTCCGGCTGAGGCTGGGAGATACCCTATTCTATCCTGAGAGCTGACAGCCCTCATGCAACCTGCGTTGTTGTGCAGGCATCTGTCTAGGTGGTTATTCTTTTATGTAATTATGAAATAAGATGCCAAGTTGTAAATGTCACTGCTAGAAAGAGGAAGATGCTTACCAGGAAGGCTAGAAGTGATTAGGGTGAGATTCTCTTAAAGGGTCCTGTTCCTCTGGCCTCTGGTCCCTGCTGTCATCCTCTCTCTGTGGGAATTACATGGCGGTGCTGATAGGCCCTTCTGAGGGTGCAATAAGATTGGTACATGGCAGTGACAGCCACAGTGATGGCCCAGAGAGGATACTGGTTGGTTGGAGGACAGCTGTAATGACAGCACTTAGGACCACTGAGATTTAAGGAATAAATAGGTGAGAGAATTGACTCCAAAGGGATGAAATCTATAAAGCATGGGGAAGAATGTCCCAGAAAAAGGACTAGACATCTTTAAAACTCAGACCAATGGACAGCATCCAGGCCTACCATGTCTACCATGTCAGGATCCAATGAGAATATGATAAAAAAACAAAGAGGACAGAATAATCTAGGATAATAGGTCTGAAGGTAGAGCCAATCTACCCATTACACAGATGGGGTAATCTGTGTAATGGGTAGATTACAATCTGAGGACCAAAGAAGAAGTGGGCCTTGTCAGGAGTCACACTGTTGAGCTAAGTGGCAACGCTGATCCCAGAACTCAGGTCTCTGACAGCTTAGCTAATGCTCTCATGTCAGTCGGTGTTCCCCTTCCACTACCCACTCCCATTATGGGTCATAAACTCCTCAAAGCAGGGAACATCGTGGCCAGATTAGTATGGCCCAAAGGGCTATGCACAAGATTAGCCAGGCCCCCAGTGCAAGGAGCTCATGGAGGGTCTGCCTCTCACACCATGACAACGAAACTTGAGAATGAACAGTAGTAGCTAAAGAAAGATCTCCATCATCCACATACTGGATTCCAGGAAATTGCTCTCCATATTCCCACACTACCATCAGGCAGGGATCTTAGAGAACAAACAAAAACAACAAATCTTTGGGTTTCTTGGGAACCCACCTTGAGCTGCACTACATTCAAAGGGAGGCAGGAGCCAGACTTTACAGCCAAGGGCCACACCATCTCCTGGTGTGAGAACAACAACCACCAGTAGCAAAACACTGTCCCTGCACTTCAGCCTCTGCCCTCCCCCCACCAGCCTGGCCATCTTCTGTTCTGGCTGGACCCGTTCACTCCCAGAAACAGCTGGATGAGGGGCCTTCCCACCAGCTCCTCAAACCTTCAAATCTTGCCGTGTCTGTGTTTAATCTCAAAAACGAGGAGTGAAGGGTGTCATTTTCTCAGGTAGGAGGAAGCTTGCCCGTGTGTTAGGAAGAGTCCTGCACGGGCACCGTCCTCAGGTGAGGGCCAGCACTTACACTGGCGGACCAGGCCCCTCAGGGGGATGACAGGATGCAGAGGCGCTGCCAGCAGTGTCACCTCTCGGGGTAGCTCTCAGAACATGGCTTCCCCTGTGGGATGGTCGCTTGGTAAGAGATCGGGCAAGCCGAGCCAGGCCACTTCAGGAAGCAGAGGAATTGTTGCCTCCTGGGTACAGAAGGTGGTCCGGGGGTCCTGGCTGAAACCCCCAACCACAGGACTGACAAGTGTCTGACCATAAGACGGGAGCCACGGAGGTATGTCAACCCAACATGGGAAAAGATGCTAAGGATCTAGGTCTGAGACCTATTTCCTGTTGAACTTCAACTCCAG